AGTTGGACATTCAACCAACTGAGCCACCCAGGCGCCCCTAAAATTTTTATTTTTAAAATTTTATTGTGGCAAGAACACTTAATACTAGATCTACCATCTTAGCAGATTTTTAAGTGTGCAATACAGTATTGTTAACTAGAGGTCCAAGGCTGTACAGTAGATGTTTAGAACTCATTCATCTTTGCATAACTGGAACTTTACACCCATTGATTCGCCACCGCCTGTTTCCCCCTTCTCTCAAGTCCTGGCGACCACCACTCTGTTCCTCGCTTCTATGGGTTTGAGGAATTTAGAGACCTCATGCAAGTGGAGTCATTTAGGTCCTTTAAATCTTTTTTTTTTTTTTTAAGTTTATTGATTTCTTTTGAGAGAGACAGAGACAGCGTGAGTGGGGGAGGGGCAGAGAAAGAGGGAGAGACAGAATCCGAAGCAGGCTCTGCCCTGTCAGCACAGAGCCTGATGTGGGGCTCGAACTCACCAAATTGTGAGATCATGACCTGAGCCGAAACCGAGATTGGACGCTTAACCTACTGAGCCACCCAGGCGCCCCAAGTGGAGTCATTTAGTATGTGTTCTTCTGTGTCTCAGTCTCAAGTTTTTAAAGTACCATTTTTTTTCTCGATAATATAATACATGATCACTGCAGAAAACTTAGAAAATACTAAAAAAAAAAAAAAAAAAAAAAAAAAAAAAAAAAAAAAAAAAAAAAAAAAAAAAAAAAAAAAAAAAGTTCCATGGCACAAAGAAAACCTTTCAAAACATTCAGGTATGTTTTAAGGTTGTCCATCTTACAATGTTATCCTGCTTCAAGCCCTCCTCCCACCTCCCTCCTCCCAGGCACTCCCGCTCAGCGAGCTTCTTTTCCTTCCAGCCGGCAAGCTCTTCTGTGGCACATATGGGGCTCATCCTCAGGCAGAAAAGTGTTCCCTGTTCCCTAATTAACCCTGCTCATCCTTCAGATTGTATCTTAATCATCACACCTTCACAAAAGTCTCCCCGATCCTCTTAGCCACTCCAGCACCCACACAAACATACATTATTTTACCCTATTATATCCTCTCAAGGCACCTTGAACTTTTCCTTTACAGCATTTGGCCAAGGCTGTAGGCATATGCCCTTTGTGTTTAGTGTCCTTCTCCTATGCAGACATCATCTCTCTGCAGGACACTCTGCCTGTTTAGCTCCCCAGTTTATCCAAAGCACCAAGTACTCTGTATTACCTATAATAAATGGAATAATATATACAAATTTACCTCATGTCTTTTTAGTAGCTTTACAAATCTTGAACCACATTTTTGATTATTTTTTGAGAGAAAGTTTCTAGACATGTGTATTAGTTTTTTCGGGCCGCCATAACAAAATACCACAGACTGGGTGACTGAAGCAGCAGGAATTTATTTTCTCACAGTTCCGGAGGTTAGTAGTCTGAGATAAAGGTGTGAGCAGGTTTGGTTTCTTCCAAAGCCTCTCTTCTCAGCTTGCAGATGGCCACTTACTTGCTGTGTCTTCACGGTCCTTCCTCTGTGTGAGCCTATCTCTGGCATCGCTCCGTGTGTGTCCAAATTTCTTTTTCTTATAATGGCACTTGTCAGACTGGAATGAGACCCACCATAATGGTCTTACCTTGACTTAATCTTTAAAGGCCCTATCTCCAAATGTAGTCATATTCTGAGCTACTCATATAAGGCTTCAACATATGAATTTGGGGCAGGGGGACACAATACAGCAAACAACAATGTGCAATGGATGGATCCAAGGAGGGGGATATTGTAAGCCCCCTGGCACATATTGCCAACAGCTTTCTGGGAAGGCTATCCACATTTGTGGTCCTACCAGCCTAGATCCCTGCACTCTTGCTGGTATTGGTACCATTAGTAACATTTTTGTTTTAAAACTGAAAGGTAAGGTTGTGTATTATTTCATTTTCCATAATCTTTGACTACTAATAAGCATAAACAATTTTTACCAGTTGGTATTTTGGTATTTATTTTTCATTCATTCTCTGTATATTTATTCATATATATATAGAGAGAGAATGAAAGAATATATATGTGTGCATATATGTATATGCATATACATATATATATTTTAAGGTTTTATTTTTAAAATGTTTAAGATTTTTAAAAAAGTAATCTCTACACCCAATGTGGGGCTCAGACTCACAACCCCAAGATCGAGAGTCTCATGCTCTTCGAACTGAGCCAGCCAGGTGCCCCTCATCTAATATATATTTAATGAACTCATGCTGTGAATAAGGCAAAGTGCTGCATAGTGGGATTCTAGCAGAGGATGAAACATGGCTCTTGATGTGATGGAGCATATGGTCTAATGGAGAAGAGAGACGTGTAACAAAATTACCCCAAATATTGAGTATAGTTGTGATGAGTATCATACAGGAGAAGTACAAGATCCCAGGAAGGCATCTAACTGGGACCGGAACCAACCAGGTCAGTAGGGAAGGGTTTCTGTGGAAATGCAGAATGACTGAGTATGATTAGCCATTACCTGAGGTAATGTGGTGGGGTGGTGAGTGGTCATGAGCACAGAGGACCACCTGTGAAGGTGCCTGTGCCGGGTAGGAGATGGGAGTTGGAGGAAGTGACTAACCAGTGAGACTGTCAGCGAAAGGGCAGGTGGTACAAGATGAGGTGCAAAACGAAAAGTGATCAGTTGTGACTTGGTGGTTGTCCTCCCCACTCTTTCTGCTGCAGGAACAACAAAATAAATGAGCGCGTGGACATGGGACATCCACTATGAAGAGGCTGCTTCTGTAACCTGGCTGAAAGATGATCTGGGTGCCTTGAATTACAATAGTAACAGTGGTGCTAGAAAAGCATGGATAGTTTTTAGAGACATTTGAGAGGTGGAATCTGCTGACGTGGCAATTGAATGTGAAGAGTGGCTCCTGAGTTACTGGTCTGAGTAACTGAGTGCATGGTGGTGCCATCTTCTAAGTTAGGGGACACAGGAGGAGCAGGTTTGGGGAGGAGAGGTCATGAGTTCAGATTTGCACAAGTCAGATTGGGTGCCAGTGGGATACCATGAGGAAACTTGAGGGTGCAGAAACTCCAAGGAGATGTCTGCTCTAACAATACACATTAGGAAATCATAATATAGCTAGAAACTGAAGCCTGAGGATGAGATATTTAGGGGGACAGTGTAGAGTGAGAAAGGAAAGGAAGGGAAGAAAGACTAGTTTAGAACCCAGAGGAACTCCAATAGTTGTAAGCTGCTAGAGGAACAAGGGAGTAGCAATGTCTAAAACACAATGCAGAAAGATCACCCTTGAGCTGCAGTGGTAGAAGACAAGGAAAGATTGTTTCCAGGGGAGCCATGTGTGCTACTGGATTGAATGCTACAAAATGATTAAAGAGCAAAAGTGCACAGAGTTTGGCAACATTGAGACCAATATCCTGACCAAAATCAGCCTTGGGTGCAAAAGCTAAATTGGAGTCGGTTGGGAAGTAAGAAAAATTGAGAGAACAGTTCTTTTTTTTTTTTTTAATTTTTTAATGTTTATTTATTTTTGAGAGAGAGAGAGAGAAAGAGAGAGAGAATGAGAGCCAGGGAGGGGCAGAGAGAGAGGGAGACACAGAATCTGAAGCAGGCTTCAGGCTCCGAGCTGTCAGCACAGAGCCTGACGCGGGGCCCAAACCCACAAACTGTGAGATCATGACTTGAGCCGAAGCTGGACAACTGAGCCACCCAGGCGCCCCTCTTTTTTTTTTTTTTTAATATTTATTTATTTTTAAGAGAGAGTGAGCGAGTGGGGGAGGAGCAAAGAGAGAGGGAGACAGAGGATCCAAAATGGGCCCTGTGCTGACAGCAGAGAGCCCAATGAGGGGCTCAAATTCACAAACCTCAAGATCATGACCTGAGCTAAAGTCAGACCCTTAGCTGACTGAACCACCCAGGCGACCTAAGAGAATAGTTCTTTCAAGATTGGCTTCCCTGAACTGTCTGTCCTTTGATTGTTTTCTGATTATGACTTTAACATTGATACTATTATATTATATGACTTGTATGTTTATATGTATGTGAGATAGTTCTTTTCAGGATATTATTATTAAACATTACTAAAATGTAGCAAATATTTTTAAAGTTTTTAAATCTACCATGAATTTTGTTATGTTGCTTGTGCTGCACATTAGCTTTATTTTTATGCAGTTAAATTAGTTTTTTCCTTTTGGCTTTTTCCATTGCTTTTGCTTAGAAATTCTTTCTAAATATAGCAATCATATAACTATTCACCTTTGCATTATTTCTTAAACATTTATAGCTTCTTTAAAGTTTTTTTTTTTTAATTTTGGAATTTATTTTTACATATCAATTTAGGGCTTGGAATGCTTCATTATATAGCCCTAATGGTGGAGGACGAACAAAGTTAGTCTTGGGATGTTCTACTTAATGTTTTAATCAATTGACTCTCCTTCATTGTAGAAGGAATGTCCTGCTAATCAAAAAGATAAAATTTCAGTTCAACATGAGATTTGTTTAGTTGGTAATTTATGGATAATCTGTCCCTGTGCTAATATTGTACAGTCTCTTTATATTATAAAAATTTTTATTCTGTATTTCCAGTTTCCTGTGCTCCCCAGAATCACATCATCTGATAGCCATCCCAGAAGGCATTCTCATGAGGACCAGGGATTTCGATGCCATACCCACATGCGGGATTATAGAAAATGTTTAGCAGATGAGTCATTCAAGGAGCCACTGGAATCAAAAGGAAGATCCCATTCCAAAATTCAAGCATTCTCAGAGTCCTTTGAACAACAACTGTGCTTTAGAACCAGACGCTCTGTCTCTTTGGTATGTAACAGAGTTATTGAATATTTAACCACTTTAGAAAAGGAAACCCAAAGGGGTTCATCCTCCCCAAGTTTGAGGAGAACAACTCTTACTTCTTCATTTACAACTTAGTGATGAGGTCTATGAAAAATGACACTCAGTTTTAGATAGCCCAGATGCATATTCATCTTTTAAATTATTTTTATTGGGGATTCCAATAAGTGTAAGAAGAATTCCTGGAGGACTATAGGTGGAATGTTTTTGTTACTGAGGTCCTCTGGTTCTTTGAGACTATTTTTGTCACTCTTATAAATAATCATGACTTGTTCTTCTTTCACTATTTGAAGAAGGGAAAAACTACCCCAACTGTTCCTTTCGTATTTAATTCTGTAGCAGATAGTGTGTGACGGCAGTGTGTTCCCCTGCACTTCTAAAAAGCACACAGAAGGAGATCTCTGAACCCCGTCTAGTGAGTGTCCAGGAGTAGGAGCTGTCTAGGCATTCAGAGGGCCTTGTGGGAGTCTACGTAAAACACAAAGGAGAGACAGGCATGAAATGGGCGAAGACTAGAAACTCCAAATGCCAAACTTGATATATAAAGTAATAAACTAGAGACCTATTAATTTGGGGATAGTTTTTGAACTATGCAACATGTTTGCTGAGTGGCCTTGAGAAAAATAACTTCTTTTTTCTGTTTTTTGTTTGTTTGTTTTATTTTGCAAAACAGGAATAATAATATGTCTCTGCCATGCACCAGGCAGAAAAATAAGCAACTAGGCATATTGCCACCCGGTTTTTGAGCTATGTCCTATGAATGTACAGAGGAAGACTTACGGGTGCTTCCTACCTCATTGTCCATGTGAACACAATGCCTTCTGGTTAGCAGTGATGGCTGTTGGGACTGTCACCATTCATCTTTGCCTTGCAGCTGGCACCTCACTTCTATCAGAGAATGACCCTGGGTGTGATTGTCCTTCAGTAGGCTGCTCTCTCCACCTGATCATAAGAGGAGTAAGGAAGGAAGAATAGTGAGCAACTGTCACTTACCATACCTAAATATTATTAAGAGTTCCTGTTTTGTCTTTTCTTTATATCGTTTTTAAATTTTTTTTAATGTTTATTAATTATTGAGAGATAGAGACAGACAGAGCATGAGCGTGGGAGGGACAGAGAGATGGGGAGACACAGAATCAGAAGCAGGTTCCAGGCTCTGAGCTGAAAGCACAAAGCCCGATGTGGGGCCCGAACTCACAAACTGTGAGATCATGACCTGAGTCGAAGTTGGACAGTTAACCGACTGAGCCACCCAGGCGCCCCTCTTTATATCATTTTTCAAAACACTACAGTTTCAGACTTAGAACAGTGTTGCAAGAATAGTATAAAAAATATACTCTTCATTCAGATTCCCTCCAAATGTTATTATGTTATATTTACTTGTATCTTTCTCCCCTTCCTAAATCCCAAACAAGGACAGAACATTCTCTTAGAAAGACACAGTATAATAGTTAAACTCAGGAAATTAACACCAACACAATACTTTTATATCTAATTTATTGAACTTGTTCATATTTCGTCAGTTGCCCCATTAATATTCTCTATAGTGAAATTCCAGATCATGTATTGCAACCAATTTTCACATCCCCCCAATTGATTTTATTCTGGAACAGTTCCTCAGTCTTTCCTTGTCTTTCATGACCCTGACATGTGAAGAATACAGGCCTCTTTTTTAGACACCTTTTTAGAATGATGCTTAATTTCGGTTTATCTGATATTTCCTCATGGTTAGATTTAGATTATGAGCTTTCGGCAGGAATAAAACAGAAATGAAAGAATTCTTGTTTTAAAATTACATGTTAAAGTAATTCATTATATTAATTCAGGAGACATATCAGCCTTAATTTTTTTTTTCCAGAGTAAGTCACGGTATATTTTGAAAAAAAAAAACCTTAATCTTAACAGTTCTTTGTTGATCTGATGTCCTCATGATCCACATCTTATATAACTGCTTATATGATATCATTTGCTAATATTATAAGTCCTAACAGTGTGCAAGCATGAAATCAGTTCTCCTATTTAAAAAGATACTCATCATATTATCCCTAAAATATTTGCTAATATTTCATTTCCCAAGCTCTTCCTTTTGAGTGTTGAGGCAATCAAGAGAGCATTTTCAATTTTTTGACTCAAGAACTCTTTTCACGGCTATGTATAATAGCTAGAAACCTCCTAGGGATTCACAAAATCAGTTATTTTTTCATTTTATATACATAAATGTATATAGGATAAATAATTTTATTGAATATTTTATTTTATATAAATTTTTAAAAGTTTCTTTATTTTAAGAGAGAGAGAGAGTGTGTGAGCAGGGGAGGGACAGAGAGAGAGAGAGAGAGAGAGAGAATCCCAAGCAGGCTGTACACTTTCAGTGCAGAGTCTGATGCAGGGCTTGGACTCATGAACTGTGGAATCATGATCTGAGCCGAAACCAAGTGTCAGACGCTTAACCAACTAAGCTACCCAGATGCCCCTCTTTTATATCAATTTTTAAAGAGTATATACTTTAAAGTTTATCCTAATGTAAAATTAAAAATTTAGAACATACGTTTACTTTAAAACTTGTTCCTACTTAACAATTGACATACTTTTCTAAAGCTAACTACACTAAAAAGTGTGGTTTCTTAGCAAATCTAAAAATGATATGTATTTTGGTTGGGAGCCAAATGTATAGTAACATGTAAATTAAAATTTTTTATCCTTCGGCATCAAAAAGAGCCACAAGCTAATTTTGTAACCTGATCATGACCAACAAAATTAAATTCTTTCATTTTGATATTGAAAAACTCAACTGGCTTATTTCAAAAATTTTTACATTTTGTTTTTAAATGAAATAAGAAAACAGATTTCAGTTCATTTTTTTTTTACATTTATTTATTTTTGAGAAACAGAGTGAGACAAAGCATGAGTGGAGGAGGGGCAGGGAGAGAAGGAGACACAGAATCTGAAGCAGGCTCCAGGCTCTGAGCAAGCGGTCAGCACAGAGCCTGATGCAGGGCTTGAACCCACGATCTGTGAGATCATGACCTGAGCCGAATTAGGACGCTCAACCGACTGAGCCACCCAGGCACCCTGATTTCAGTTCATTATTAATGAGTGTTGCTCAGATAATCTTTATTCTCAATAAGGGAAAAGCCAGACTGAAAGTAATCATCACTGTATTTCCTCCTTTTTTGTACTGCTCTTTTAAGTATTAGAGACATTCATGACTGCTTAGTATGAACTTTGATCAGCCTGATGGATCTAATACAGCTACTGGGTCTGATGAACACAATCTGGAGGCACATTTACAGACCTGGTACAATTTTTAGGTTTCTCTTAAGCTGCATCTCAGCTTCACCGTTTGTTTGGCTTTGTGACTTTGACCCTTGGACCACTATAGTTAGAAGTGAAGCAATGTAGGTGTGAAAACAACTCAGCACTGAAGAGTAGCTGACACCACTGCAGGAACTGGACACCCTCATAACTCAGCCTGCAGGACTGAGTCACGATCTTGCTCATCTGACTGCCTCTCATCACACTGACAGACACTCAGGCGTTCCCCCGCGTTTCCAGTTCATAGGGAGGCGGGGGGACAGTAATGATGTTATTTGGTTTTTTTCTTAAAAATAGAAGTGTAAGTAGACACCATCAGCACATTTATCAGTGCCATTCTTTAGTCAGTAATTCCTTTGAAAGATGCTCCTTGACCATGGAAACTGAAGAAACATTCCCCTCCCCCCTCCACACTTCCCTATCATATCACCCTGTTTGCTCATCATCGTTGTACTTATCACTATCTGTTATATCGTTTGTTGCCTTTTAGGCTTATTGATTGCCTGTCACTGTCCACCTAGGTGTAATATTGAAGAAGTAGGCTTTCTTTAGTTAGTGCTGTATCTCCTGATCTTAGAGCAGTAGTGTGTGTTCAATGAATCAGTGAATGTGGCCCCGTGGGCAACCTGTTGGGGAATGACAGTGTGGTTGGATGTCATTCCTCAACACTCCATTCTTCACACATTAAAACTAATGCAAACCCTACTATTAATGTAATTTAAAAGAAGTGGACCCTGGGAAGTTAGAATCAGTCCATGTATGATTCACTTGCCATATTCCTCTTCAGAAAAGCACCAGGAGACTATTAATCACATCGTACTGTGAGAACACATTTTTCTACATGTCAGAGGCAGACGCAGGGTTGTGTACAGGCTGAGTTTCCTCCACAGTCTCTCTGCTGACACCCAAGGCTCATTCCCTTTATTTATGACTAAAACCTTTAGCAACACACTTAGGCTTATGCTAACTTATTATGAGAAACTAAGATGCGCAAGTCTACTACATGAGCAGGGCTTTCTTCATCTCTGACAGGAGAAATGTTGCATGTTGTTAGCTGTTAGTACATTCCTACCCTTTTCTGACCTTTCTCTTTCAGGGACCTGAGAGCAGAAAGGAGAGAAATGAAAGAGAATGTCTGAGGATGGAGATAAAATCTCGAAAGAAAATGGAGGAGGGAAGGAAATCTAGGAAGGAAGAACACAGAGAAGAATCCACGCCCTCCTTGTTTGAAAAGGAGCCCAAATAGTATTTTGTCTCCACATCATGACTACAGATGCCACTGTGTTTTTCGGGTCCCCGAATGCCAGGCCAGGTGGAGGTAGCTGTAAGAGAGTGTCTGCGGGTGCTGAGTGACTGCAGCCGGCAGTGGGTGTGGCAGTCCCCCAAGGTGACTGGGCACCTGCTCCAGCTGCTTCTGGCCTCTTAGTTGAGAGTTGTTGTCCTTTTATGGGCACAAGGAGAATCAAAGGTATCTTGATAGAATAAGTAATTCTTAAAAATGTAAAGAGAGATATTTAAAGAATCACCCACCCATCTTCACAAACTCTTCTTCTTCCACATCAACCTTGCAAATAATTTCAAATAAAAGACATTGGTGTGACTCTAGGTTTACTTCTTTATTAGAAGTAATTATGTAAGTACGTCTAATGGCTACCATTTAATGAGAACTGGTAATTAACATGCCAAGTACTGTGCCAGGTTCTTCAATGGCTCACCTAAAATAATCCTCACTACACTGGGATTGGAACTATTCTTTTCACTTGCTGGCTGAGGAAACTGAAGTTTAGACAAGTTCAGGAACTCACTGATGAGGTGGCAGGGTTAGGGCTAGAGCCCAGTCATTCTGACTCATGCTCCTAACCTGAGGCAGGACCTTAATTTCCTTTTTATTTAAAATTTTTTAATGTTTATTTTTGAGAGAGAGAGAGAACAAGCAAGGGAGGAGCAGAGAGAGAGAGGGAGACACAGAATCCAAAGCAGGCTCCAGGTTCCGAGCTGTCAGCACAGAGCCTGACGTGGGACTTGAACTCCCAGACCGCAAAATCATAACCTGAGCCGAAGTTAGACGCTTAACCAACTGAGCCACCCAGATGCCCCTTGCACCTTAATTTCCTTTTAGTGCTGGCTCCTGACTTGGTGTGTGTGTGTGTGTGTGTGTGTGTGTGTGTGATGTGCATGGAAATGAGTGGATGTGAGAAAAGCAGGACCTGGCAATAGCTTATGATTTTGATCACATGGGTGGAGATTGATTTACTGAGGTCAGCTTTATGCTCTGGGTTTTAACTTTATGAGACCATATTCTTATTTATTTTTTTAATTTTATATTGAGACATAACTGACATATAACATTAGTTTCAAGTCTACAATATGATTTGATATTTTTAACCTTTTGTGAAATTATCACCACAATAAGTCTAATTAACATCCATTATCACACAAAGTTACAAAATATTTTTTCTTGTGATAAGAACTTTTAAGATCTCCTTTCTTAGCAACCTGCAAACATACAATACATTATTATTAACTGTAGTCACCATACTTACATTATATCCCATGACTTATTGAAAAGATATTGAACACTCCATTAATTTACATGTCAGCCTTGTTCAGGGGCCATGCCATTCCAATTTTAGTATATGTGTTGCTGGAGTGAGAACTTTTTTTTTTCTTAATTTTCAGCTTTATTGACATATGATTGACAAATAAAATTGTATATTTTATTTATTTATAATTTTTTAAAGTTTATTTATTTTCAGAAAGAGAGAGCATGATCAGGAGAGGGGCAGAGAGAGAGAGAGAGAGAGAGAGAGAGAATCCCAAGCAGGCTCTGCGCTGTCAGTGCAGAGACCGACGTGGGGCTTGAACTCACGAACCCTGAGATCATGACCTGAACCAAACCCAAGAGTCAGACACTCAACCGACTGAGCCACCCAGGTGCCCCTAAAATTGTGTATTTTAAATAGTACAACATGATGATTTGACATGTGTATGCTTTGTGAAGTGATTACAACAATTGGGTTAATTAACACATTGAGGCCATATGGTTATCACAATTTTTCTTCTTTAGGAGAAGACATCAGAATTCTCTCTATTTAGTTTTTTTTTTATATTGAAGTATAATTGACATTTAATATTATATTAGTTGTAGGTGAATGACATAATGATTTTATTTTTGTATACATTGTGAGATGATCACCACAATAATGCTCATTAACATCCATCACCACACATAGTTACAAAATCTTTTTTTTCCTACAAGAACTTTTTAATATCTACTCCTTTAGCAACTTTCAAATATGAAACACAATATTATTGACTATAGTCACCATTCTTCACTTACATCCCTATGACTATTTTATTATTGGGAGTTTGTACCTTTTTTTTTTTTTTAATGTTTATTTATTTTGGACAGAGAGAGAGAGAGACAGAGCATGAATGGGGGAGGGGCAGAGAGAGAGGGAGACAGAATCCGAAGTAGGCTCCAGGCTCTGAGCTGTCAGCACAGAGCCCAACATGGGGCTCGATCTCACGAACCTCGAGATCATGACCTGAGCTGAAGTCAGATGCTTAGCTGACTGGGCCACCCAGACGCCCCAAGGAGTTTGTACCTCTTGATCCCACTTCCTTATCCCCCTCCTCTCAGGCAACGACCAGTCTGTTCCCTGTATCTATGAGTTTTGTTTTACTTGTTCCTTTGTTTTGTTTTTTAGATTTCACATATAAGTGAAATCATACAGTGTCTTTCTCTGTGTCACTTATTATTCACTTAGCATAATGTCCTCAGGGTCTGTTCATATTGTTGGAAATGGAAAGATTTCATTTTTTCTTTTAATGGCTTAATAACATTCCATTGTATATATATACTACATCTTCTGTATCCATTTAGCCACTGATGGACACTTAGTTTGTTCTATATCTTGGCTATTGTAAATAATGCTTCAGTGAACACAGGAGTGTATTTCTTTTGGGATTTGTGTTTTTCTTTTCTTCAGATAAATGCCAGCATTTCTGGATCATGTGGTAGTTCTATTTTTAATTTTTTGAGGTAACTGTATATGATTTTCTGTAGTGGCTGTATATTTTACATTCCCACCAACAGTGCACAATGGTTCTCTTTTTTCCACATCCTCACCAGTACTTGTTATTTCTTGTCCTTTTGATCATGGCTATTTTGACTGGTATGAGGTGATATCTGATTGTGATTTTGATTTCTATTTCCCTGATGATTTGTGATGTTAAATATATTTTCATATGTCTGTTGTCTGTCTGTCTGTATGTATGTCTGTATGTCTTCTTTGGAAAATGTCTCTTCAGGTCCTGTGCCCATTTCCCCTATTTGTTCTTTGTTTCTGTCTTGGCTCTTCAAATGCCCAAGGGCAGCCAGAGTCTCCATTCTGTAAAGAATATCTCCAAAACTACTAGTTATAATCAATACTATAGTTGGTTCCTTATGTAAGATACACACTAACTTTGTCACGGATAGTAAAAAGAAGGAAAAAGAAAAAGAAAAAAAAGGGGAGGAAAACTGAGAGAAAAGTAAAATAGCAATCTATGGTTTGTATTTTTTTTAGTTTTCTTTTAAAAAATTTTATCTTAATTCCAGTATCATTAATATTCGGTGTTAAATTACTTTCAGGTATACAATATAGTGATTCAATAATTCTGTACATTACTCAGTGCTCATCATGATAAATGTACTCTTAATCTTCTCTCTAGTATGTTACCCATCCCCCCACCCACCTTCCCTCTGGTAACCGTTAGTTTGTTCTCTTTAGTTAAGAGTATGTTTTTTGGTTTGTTTCTTTTTTTCCTTTGTTTGTTTGTTTTGTTTCTTAAATTCCACCTATGAGAGTGCCTGGGTGGCTCAGTCAGTTAAGAATCTCACTCTTGATTCTAGCTCAGGTCACGATCTCAAGGTTCATTAGATCGAGTCCTGGGTCAGGCTCTGTGCTGGCAGTGCGGAACCTGCTTGAGATTCTCTCCCTCTCTCTCTGCCACTTCCTCACCTGTGCTTGTGCTCTCTCTCTCTTAAAATAAATTTAAAAAATTCTGCATATAAGTGAAATCATATGGTATTTGACGTTCTCTGACTGGCCTATTTTGCTTAGCATTATACTCTCTAGCTCCATCCATGTTATTGCAAATGGCAAGATTTTGTTTGTTTGTTTGTTTGTTTGTTTGTTTATTTGTTTGTTTATGGCTGAATAATATTCCATTGGATATATATACTACATCTTCTTCATCCATTCATTATCGATGGACATTTGGGCTGCTTCCATACTTTGGCTATTGTAAGTAATGCTGAAATGAACATGGGGTACATATATCCTTTCAAATTAGTGTTTTCGTATTCTTTGGTAAATACCCAGTAGTGAGATTACTGGATCATATGATAGTTCTTTTTCTAATTTTTTGAGGAACATCCATACTGTTTTCTGTGTTTTCTACATGGCTGCACCAGGTTGTATTCTCACCAACAGGGCATGAGGGTTCCTTTTTTTCCACATCCTTACTAACAGTTGTTTCTTGTGTTTGATTTTAGCCATTCTGACAGGTGTAAAGTGATACCTCATTGTGTTTTTTTTAATTTCAAGTTTTTATTTAAATTCCAGTTAGTTAACATATAATGTAATATTAGTTTCAGGAGTACAATTTAGTGATTTATCACTTACATACAACACCCAGGGCTCATCACAAGTGCCCTCCTTAATATCCATAACCCATTTAACCTGACCCCCACTCACTTCCTTCCATCAAACCTGTTTGTTGTCTATAGTTAGGAGTCTAGTTTATGGTTTCCCTCACTCCTTCCCTCCACCCATGTTCATCTCTTTTGTTTCTTAAATTCCACATATAAGTGAAATCATATGGTATTTGTCTTTCTCTGACTGACTTACTTTGCTTAGCATAATACACTCTAGCTCCATCCATGTTGTTGCAAATGGCAAGATTTCATTCTTGTTTATGGTTGAGTAATATTCCAGTGTGTGTGTGTGTGTGTGTGTGTGTGTGTGTGTGTATCTCACATCTTCTTTACCCATTCATCAGTTGATGGACATGTGGGTTCTTTCCATAATTTGGCTATTGTTGGTAATGGTGGTATAAACATTGGGGTGCATGTCTCCCTTTGAATCTGTATTTTTATATCCTTTGGTAAATACCTAGTGCAATTGCTGGATTGTAGGGTAGCTCCATTTTTAACTTTTTGAGGAATCTCCATACTGTTCTCCAGAGTGGCTGTAGCAG